GATCTGGACTCTGTCCGCCTGCGGGGAGCACAGCCCTGGCGGGGCTGGCGGGCTGTGCAAGCCATCCTCATCTCCCGAAGGCGCAAACCCGACCCCGAACCGGAGACGACCCTTGAACTCACAGCCAAAAGCTGATCTGGCTGTGGGCCTGCGGGCAGTGCCCAGGCCCCGCTGCCCCCAGCCACCCACCCACGTTCCCCGTGCGACATCGCGTCCTTTCCACCTGGGGCCGGCTCACGCCTTTCAGCCACCTCCGTGCCGGGCTGGCTGCCGGGACCTCCCGCGCTCCTAAATCCTGCCCTCGGGCCAGACTGGGCCAGGGCCGCCCGCGGAGACGGGGTGCCGGCGCCGCTCCCGCGAGCTCGCACAAAGGCAGGCGCGCCTGAACGTGGAGAACTTCCCACCCTGCGCGCCGCGGCCTCCCCGGGGCCTCCACCGCCGAGCGCACTTACTGTCGGTCGCCATGGTGGGCTGACGGGTGCGGGGCGGCCGCCTGCGGCTGGGGTCCCCGGCGCAGAGCCGGGCCGGGCGCGCGCTCTCGGCAGGCCCCGCTGGCTCAGGGCCCGCGCCGCGCACTGCCCCTCCCGTCGCGCGCCCCCGCCGCGCCGCCCCGCGCCCCGCCGCTGCCTCCAGCCCTGCAGCCTCCACCCGCACCCCGAGAGCCCAGCGCCGCGCCCGGCGGCTGGACCTGCCCCTCTCCGCCGCTCAGCGTCTGACTTCCCTCTCCTTCTCCCCCGCACACCCCAAAGACAATGAAGGCAGCAACTTGGACCACGCTCCTGGCCACACCAAGGTCGCCTCGCCAGCCTACCTTTCCAGCTAGGTTCCCTTGCTACCGACTTGTTTTCCTGACTCCCGTTCTCCACCTCATCCACGCCTGGAACTTCTTAACCAGGAGGGCAGGGACCCAAGAGCCAATTGTCAGCCCTAGCTGAAAGGGGTAAAGCAGGAAACAAGTGGGAGTGGGCAGCAAGGATCACCTAGGTGCCGGACATTAACCTTCCAGGATGCAAGAACTCCTGAGAAACGCTCCCCACCATCCTGGTTAGGCCCCAAGGGTGCTATGCTCCTTATTTCACCTACCCTGTTTTCTCTCAAGGTGAAAATAGGGCCCTGAACATAGTAGACTCTCAGTTGGTATCTACTGGGTGGATTAATGGATCCCTTTATAACTAAATACCTACGTAAATTCATGAAAACTAATTGGATGTGGACTGAATTAGTAACTGATTGATGGGTAACCATGGCCAAACCAGAGCACTTCCAGCTGACTAAGGGTGCAGCTTGTGCAAGAAGACTATCCTGAATGAGAAAGCCAGATCCTGTATGGCCTCGCAGCTCATCATGGTTAGGAAGGTTTTGAACTGAGGCTCTCTGTGGAAATCATATACTGTGCATCTACAGGAAGACCAGAAACCATTTTCTGATGGAGTCTTGGCATAGTGAGGGCCCAGTGATACATGAGAATCTGCTACCTCCACATCCCCTGTGCAAAGTATCAATTGACTCAAACACATGGTCTAAAGTACATGCATGGTAGAAGGCTATTTACTTCTTACAGACCCAATCCATCTGATGCCTTTGAGGATGGACATTCAACCTTTCCAATAAGGATCTCAGTAAGCATCGTTCCCAGCCCTGCTAGGACATTGCAGCTAGACATAGAGAAGACTCAGCAGAGTCAGAAGTAGTTGACATTTGGCCAAACAGACACAGGAAGCTACCGAAGTACAACACTGAATTCCCCTCTGATCTGTCCACAGAGCTCCTGTGAAGGAGCCAATATTTGGATGGGGCTCCACACCCACAGTGGGTACACCTGGAATGGGACTTTGGTTTTGGAGAGGGATTTTTTTTTTTAATCTTTAACATAGATGATACTGAAGACCATTTTTAGTTAAGAACCACAGACACCTGGCTTATGTGTCTTTCATAACAACCCCTTTGTGGTAGGCCCAAACAACCAAAAAACTTGAAATGGTTTGGATAGGAAAAAACAAAAATAGCTTTAAATATGGCCCCAGAATTTTGAAGCTCTTTGAAGAGCACAAATTATGAGGTTAAGCTGATTTGAGGGAAAAGATGGACAGTTGGGTTTGGATCAGTTGAACATTTGTGAGTTTCTTTATTAATTAAAGCTACTTTTCTAAATTAGACAATTCAAAGTATATGTTTAATGTTTTCTGAATGATTGGCCTGTTGGATACCTGGTTTATTAGTGTGGAGCCAAATGTGGATAAGAAGGGTTTTTTGGTTTTTTTTTTTTTTATTTTATTCATATGTGCATACAATGTTTGGGTCATTTCTCCCCCCTTCCCCCTTCCCCACCCCCTCCCTTGCCCCCCCACCCCCTCCCTTGCCCCCACCCCCTCCCTCTCCTCCCCACCCCATCGATACCCAACAGAAACTATTCTGCCCTTATCTCTAATTTTGTTGAAGAGAGAGTATAAGCAATAATAGGAAGGAACAAGGGTTTTTGCTAGTTGAGATAAGGATAGCTATACAGGGAGTTGACTCACATTAATTTCCTGTGCATGTGTGTTACCTTCTAAGTTAATTCTTCTTGAACTAATCTTTTCTCTAGTTCCTGGTCCCCTTCTCCTATTGGCCTCAGTTGCTTTAAAGTATCTGCTTTAGTTGGATGAGACGGGTTTAAGGAACAACTAGATATCAAAGAGTGGAGGCCCCAAGTAATCCTCTGAAAAACTTTGGCAGTGAAGGGATGAAAGGGGAGAGGGAGCTTCCAAGGAAGAGCAGGATTGAGGTAAAATAAGATCTTTTGTGTTGCTTTAAAATGGAGGATTGTTCAGCAAGAAAGATATTTCTGTCCTCACGTTCAAGCATATAAAAGGAAGAAAATCACTTTTCCATAACGAAATCAACTTTCTGATCCAAGTCCCTATTCTACCTGTTGTTAGGAAGTTTGATTTTCTTCAGTTTTGGGTAAATTCCATCAATCCAGGTTTGTCTTGGGTCATTCAGCTTTCCCTCTTCACTCTTTCTTGGGGTTGTATCCAAGTTTAGAGGAAAGGATGTAGCATCAGGATATTGAAAAGTATCAGACCCTATCTGTCCTCTGTAGAAGGTACCTCTCCTATCTGGATGCCACAGCTCTCAGTTCTTAGTTCATGAGTGCTGCATCTACTGCTCTGCCCCACTAGCCATGTGCAAACAATGACTTCCCCATTGATCTTAAGGAAAAATATGTGGCTATTTGCCCATGCCATTCTGAGCAAACAGGGAAATCTCTGGAGGAATCGCAAGCATTTTTCCACAGGCTAGACAACCATTTTTTTTCTTATTCCTTTACCATATGGTAAATGGTGGGCTAACAAGCAAGATATGTAATGTGGCATGAGGCAGGAGCTCCCTTAAATCTCAGTTTCCCCAACCTATCACCTCTCCTTGTTCCTGGAAATAGAATTCTCTCTAAGAAGGGGTAACTGCATGACAGTGATTTAAACAGTTATGAGCATTACATTATAAGGTGGTCCCAGGGTTGGTTTAGCATCTCAACAATGTCATCAAGGACTCAGAGTCTTAACATCCACCTACTCCATCATCCTCAGTTGTCAGCAGCTCTCTCTTTGAGGTCATAAGACTGCAGCAGCAGAAAACTTCTTATCTTCACAACATCCCACAAGTAGGGTGGGAGTGGGATGTCCTAGGATATCCCTCCTCATCTTTCTATCGGAGAAAATCCTTATAAAAGCCCTCAATGACCTCTGTCATTTTGGCCGCAATGAAGGCTGGAAAGCAAGTGTCTGTTTTCAGCTTCTGAGGATTCTGCCAGCATGGAAGAAGTGGACAGGGAGTGGCTACTGAGCACACTTGCTTCTCTCATCCAATAGAATCTCAACTCACTTCTCTTCTTTATGACTAAGACAATCCTTCCATGGCTAAGAAAACCCATCTCCTAAGGGCTGAAAAACGGACTCTTAAAACATCCTGTATTCTTACAAATTTATGTGTTTTAAATTTGGACCTCAACTTTTGAAATTTAAAGGCCAAAATTTTGGCTCTTTCATTTCTTTACACTTAACACCATAAATGCCAGTCTTCTTAAAGATAGGAGAACCACTTGGTAAGTGAAATTACATAATAAAAATTTTAAAACACAGTCAAAATCACGCTAGATTTCTAGTGCACTTACGAAGGGAGAGGAAAGAGCCATTGGAGTGGAAAGACCAGAAATGCCAAGAAAGGCAGGAATAGACAGTGTTGGATAAGAGGTAGTTGCAGTATGGTAAGCGCAGGCAAGTTTTTACCTTGGAGAAAGAACGATTTTCAGTCTTGGAAACTTAAGTTGAAGCAAGGAGAATGATGCAAAGGACTTATGGCTGGAAGAGGGAGATTGAGGGAGCTCAGGTGCACTGTGTGGTCTTGAGTTCTCTATAATGCAGGACACAAGTAAGTTGCCAACAAGGAAGGAAGCAGAGGTGAGGTTGAGAACATAGGAAAGTGAAAAAGATTTTAAGCTGTCTCTTTTAGGAAAGTGCAAGAGAATGGAAGGGATAAACAGATGAAAGGATTTTCTAGCCAGCAGTGCAGGTCCTCCTGGAATTAGACCACAGGAGCAGAGCAGGTGAGGCAACCATTTAGGAGCAGGTAACGGAAGCAGATATGACTTGAATTGTAGGTCACTGCATCCTTGAAATAGCTAGCCACAGGGGTCAGGAGGTTTGGAGGGGTAAGTGGAGTCACGGTGGGAATAAGAAGGGACAGGCTGAATACTGAGGAGCCCAGAGCCTGGAAACCTTGAGGACAAGGTGGTCTGGGAGAATCTGAGCTCTCAGGGCAGTGTATGCATAAAAGAGGGTGAGGACACAGGAAGGGCAGGACCAAGCAATTGCATTTACAGTGATCTTGCTAAGGTAATTTGATATTGCTCTTCGGACTTGGTAGTTGCCATAATTGTGATTCAGATGTCACTATCTACATTGACTGAATTCATTTCCAGAATCAGGTTAGACAAACGTATCTTTTTTTTTTTTTTTTAGTGAATGACGCAATTTATTAACCCAGGATCCTTTGTTCTAATGCTTCTTGTTGGCATCTGCCACCTGTCCAGCGATTCTGTCTAAATCTCTCTGTCCCTGAGGTGTCAGCTTGCAGCCCCCATCTTGGTCCTTTTCCACCATTTTCAGCCCCTCTAGGGCTTGGAGGACATGATGGGCCACACTCTTGCAGCCTCTACTGAAGTGGCTGGGCATGACACCATTTCTCTTTTGTCACCCTTGGTCATGGCACCGCCCAAGAGGTACTTGTGCCATGCTGTGGAAGCAGCTCGTGTGTAGAACCAGTTCTCATCATAGGGAGCAAGCTCTTCATACTTGACCAGCTTGACTGGGTCCACCCATTCGGGAACTTTCAGCTTCCCAGACTTTTTGAAAAAGGCTGCAAAAGCTCTGACGAACTCCTGCTGGTTTACCTCTTTTACGGTAACTCCTGGCATCGTGGTCTCCACGATGCAGGCCAGGGGAAAGGAAGACAAATGTATCTTGTACACACTGCCCGGAAGTTACCATGTGGGTTCTCTGACCCTTGGCCTATAACCACATTCTGTTGACTGTCAACACTCTGGCTATCACCAAGAAATGAGAGTGAGGAAGGGCCAAGAGCTGCAGCCATGGCTGAGTGGGTCTCCATCACCATGGAGACTTTTTTTTGGTTGAAATAGTTATTGCCTGTCTGTTAAAGAGGGTGAAAACAAAAAAGATATTTTAATAATGATTTATTCATAATGCCTTTGAGCTACTGAGCATTTTATCTGACACAGGAAGAGACAAGTTTGGATTATTTTTATAGAACTTATCTTTGATTTTCATTAAATGTCTCCATCTCTGAGCATGGTGTCTACGTAGATTTCCTAAGCCTCTAAATTTAAATACTTCTGTACATTCAAATGTGATATAGATTGTGGTAATCAAAACATACAAGTTTTTTTTTTTAAGGCACTAGGTAATAAATAGCGTTATGTTGTGATTTAACTCTTACAACATGGCGGATGGACAAAAGGAGGAACAGAGCTAATCAAGTGGAATTTTGGAAGGTAGAAGGCAAGGCCTGGGTTCTGGTCCTGCTGTTTAGTGGTTAACATTCCAGCAGTACTGTAGAGACTCATTGGCCAAGATCTGGAAAACCATAGGGCCATGGTTGTCTGTCTCCTGCTGCAGGTTGCCCCTAAACTGTCCATACACATACAAGCATGGCATGTCTTTTAGAGACCTAAGGCAAGGGGGAACTTAGTCCCAGGAAAAGGAGTCTGGAGACCAGGCAAAAAAATAGGTCAAAATGATGCTCCTGTTGTTCAAAACTCTTTATGTGTGAATATTGCATTGACTTTCTTTCTCCTCAATAGTAAATCCAGCCTGTTTTTTTTTTTAAGGCACTTTTAGCAGTCATTCAAAAGATAGTACTAAAATGTATAATCTCATTTTTTAAAATACACAGTTGGGGGCTGGAGATGTAGTTGAGTGGTAGATTGCTTGCCTGGCGTTTGGAAGGCCCTGGATTTGATTCACCAAGAAGGGGTGGGGGGGACCCACAATTATAGAAATAATACTAAAAATCTCCAACAAAATACTCACCCTGGGGAGCCAAGTAAGCTTAGAGAAGGATACATGCAGAGACTAAGGAATGCATCCTAGTAGTTCCTCTCTGTTTTTGCAAAGGAAAGCCTAGGCTAGCTCTCGTCAAGTATGGGCCTTTGACCATCTGGAGAACTTGCTAAAGATGAAGGTTCTTAGACCTCAACCATCCTATACTGGCTTGGAAGCTGACCATGGGGTGCTATAATCTGCATATTAAATATGCTGCCTGGTGTGACTAAGAGACCCTAAAGCTGGAGACCTTCTGGCCCAAGAAACAGCTGGCTACAAGACCACCAAACTGCCAGAGGAGACCTGGACTTTTAGGCCTAGGAATTCCTGGTTCAGTCTTCTCTGCAACAGAGAGACACGAGCTGGCAGAGTGACTCGAGTGCTAGAGCACCCGCCTAGCTAAGTCTGAGGCCCTGAGTTCACACCCCAGTGCCAGAGAGAGGGAGAGGGAGAGAGAATAAATGCTGGAGATTCAGCCACTGGTAAATAAATCAGTGCTAACAAACTTTTTCAATAAGTGATACTTATATCTAATTGAAGGCATTCATTTAAAAATCAGAGTCCATTCATCTTTTTATTATCCATGAAGATAGAAAACTGGCTAAAAGTCTGTAAGTTCTCAAATATGAGTTAGGGATAGGATTCAGTGGCAAAACATTTGCCTAGCATGCTTGAGACCCTGGGCTTAATCCTCAGCACCAGAAAACAAAAATCTTTACACAGTAGTTGTCTTAGTACATTCAGAATGCTATGATGAAATACCATTAACTGGGTGCTTAGAAATCACAGAATCTTACTTCTCACAGGTCTGGAAGCTGGAAAGTTCCATACCCAGAGCCTGTTCCTCTTATAACCTCACATGGTAGAAATGGTGAGGGATCCCCCAGAGACCTCTTTTATAAGGGCTCTAATCTCATTCATGAGGGCCCCATCCTCCTTCATGATCTAATCACTGCACAAAGGCTCCTTTTCAGGAGGGCTGGCAAAGTGGCTCAAGTGGGACAGTGCCTACCTGGCAAGCGTCAAGCTGTGAGTTCAAACCCTAGTATCACCAAAAACACAAAACAAAACAAAAAAACCCAAAATTCCTCTTCTTAATATCACAATCACCTTGAGAGTTAAGTCTCAATGCTTTGGAAGTTAGGTCCCAATAAATTTGGGGCAGGGGAAGGCATGGCAAACATTCAAGCCATAACAGTAATAAAAAGCTCCCAAGAATTATGAGACAATAAAGTTGCTTTCTTTTTACCAGGCTAAGTAACTTCAGTTCTTCATCAAGTACTCGTTTGCTTTAGCCAAAATAATAGAATACAATTTTTCAAAGCTGTGGTTTATTTAAAGAATAATTCCCAAATAAGGAGGACTTCATGGCTATCAAAAAACAAAACATCTGCTTTGCCTCTGAGTATCTTTTTTCCATTTGACACAAGCAAACTGGACAACTAAAAAGGGAAATGTAAGTTTTAAAATACTGATTTGCAATATGAATATATTTCTGAGGTAGAATAAAATTTTGGGTTTATTGACTCATTTCTTTTTTTTGGCAGGTACTGGGGTCTGAACTCAGGGCCTTGTGCTTGCTCTATCACTTGAGTCACTCCACCAGCCACAACTTTTTCTTATACCATTCTCCTTAGATATATTTTATAAACCTTTAAATGCCCTAACCTCCTTATTTCATGCTCCACCTCTCACTGAACCAATTTCTCTGTTCTTTATTCTCATTTTTAAAAAGCAATCTGCATTCCCCGTCCACAGTACATACTTTCAATTTAATCCTCAACCCATTACTAAAATTTTGACTTGATGAAGATAATGACCTCCTAATTGCCAGACTGTCAAGATAATTTTCCATCTTTATCATGTGATACTAGTGTGTGTGATGACACTATTCATCATTCCCTCTTCAAAGTTGTGTTCGCTCAGCTCTGTGACACTTCATTTTCTGGATCTTCCTCCTACATTTCATATAACTATCCATAGTTATCAATAGTTCTCCAAGGCTCCTATTTCCCTGCCAGATTCTCCCTAAATTTGATGCTCCATCCTCAGTGCCTTGCTCTAACCCATACACTGCCTTAGTAATCCTCTCATGTGTCCTGGTCTCAACAACCTTGTCTTTGTAATTTTTATGCAGCAGTCCCTGAGAGTCTGACTAGTGTAGTGGTTCAGATCCATGGCGTCAGGCCATGGATTCTAACAATGGCCTCGCCACTCACCAGCCCCATGATCTCAGGCAAGTTACCCATCATCCGTGTGCCCTCATTTCCTCTTCTGATAAATTAATACCACTAGAACTTCTGCTTCTGGCTGTGTGACAGGTCAGATATTTTCTTACTTCTTCTGGATAAATTACTGCAAAAATAATTTTTAATGCATTCCTGTGCTCACGAGAAAATAGGAGAGTCTTCAAGGGGAAAAAGAAAACACTGAGCTGAAACCAGAGCAAGAGGCAATACTTTACAGCAAACAGAACAGAGACTGGTGAAGTAAGCTTACCTGGTTACTCTTATAAACAAAAGACTGAACTTGGCACTTAACCTGAGACTCCAGGGACTTTAGAAGTGCCAAAAGAAGAGTATTCCTGGCTCACAGCAAAAGCAAACATAAACTCTCTAAAGGAAAGCATCCCAAATTAGGCTCACAGATTCGGTTCAAGAAAATTTGAGTTCCCAATAAAAATCACCAAATACAAGCACTCAGGAGGCTGAGGCAGGAAGATCTCAAGTGTGAAGCCAATCTGGGCTACACAGGGAGACCCAGTCTCAAAAAATCAAAAAGCAAAAATACCCCACCAACTATAACAAAGATAAAAACCACCAGAAGTGAGGGTTAAAAACAACAAATAGAGACTGATGTCGAATTTCAAATATTGACATGATCAGATACAGATTATAAAATAATTATTCTAGAAACATTTAATGAAATAGAAAAACTGACCAAAAAGAAGAGACTACCAAAACATATCTTGGCAGACACAAAACTTTCAGAAATGAAAAAGAAATAAAAAGGGGAAATTAAAACCTCAGGGGTGCTAGTGAGGTGGCTCAAGTGGTAGAGCACCTGCCTAGTGTACCATCAAAAAAATTCAAAAACCAACTTGGGATGGAGCCATGACCTGGCCTAGACTTAGCTCTTCCATCTTGGCACAACCCTGAACCCTGAACCCCACACCTGCCTTGCTTTATTTCCTGGAGTCACCCAGACTGTAAAAATTGCTAGGGATACCCTGCTCATTTTATTAAAAGTTGATATCAGAGAAAAATATATAAATCCACCAAAGAACAAAGAGATTCTGACTTTACAAGCCTGAGGAGTCATTCTACATCTTTCATTTTCTTCTCAGAAGCCATTAACTCCAGTTATGGAGGCCCAGAAACATCACAGAGAAATTTAACTCTAATTCTATGGAGTGTAGTTTTACAAGTGAATTATACTTGTAAATATAAGAGATTTTCCACAACAAAGGGTAATAGAGTGATTTGAATATAGAGTGACATATATATGTGTGTATAATTTTGTTCACAATGTTTTGTTTTGTGTCTGTGGTGATGAAAGAAGACAAATTGTATCTTTTGATTGATTTGTTCATATTTAATTGCAAACGGTATGATTTTCTAGACATAGTCTCTAAATGAAAGACAGATTGTTTAGTTTTAAAATGCAACACAGAAAGTTTCTGGTGATGGGCAACTAGTTCAAGTTTACAGACAGAAGACCTTCAGTTAACCATGTCTAGTAAATGGTGTGTACAGTTAGCAAGAGAGGCAATATGCCAATTAAGCCACAAGAAATTAAGAGATGAATCAACTATTTGAAACATTTGCTGAAGGCAAAAGCATTTACAATTTGT